AATTGGACTTCTTTTGAGGCGAGGTATGCAATTCTTCCGTGGCAAGTTTTTTTTTTCTATTTGCATTGTTATTTCAAATTAAATTCATGTAGATTTTTACAAAATTTACAATTTATTATGTTCAAATTGCAATAAGCGTATATATTTTGCAGAAATGACAGTTTGAGTTGTGTGTCCAGATTATTAAGGGGTATGTTGACCAAAAGATATATTCTCTAATGATGGAAAAGTATATAGGAGAATTGGAGGAACCTCCGGTGATTTTGAGGGCTATGAGATTCGTATGCAAGAATTTCCTTCCAGGCTGGGAAATGTTGAGAATTCCAGATTTTACAAATTTTGTCTTTGATCATCTTGACGAACTACTTGATCCTTGTAAGAGAAAGGCACAGTTCGTAGATTCTATTCAAGAGTGGGTGAAGAAAGAGCACGCCAAAAACAGAAAGAGCAGTCAACGGCGAGGTATGAAGAAGTCGGAGATTGACATTGATGAAGTTGAAGCCATGGAAGATCTCGTGGCAATCTTGAGTGCAGATGACAGTTGCAGCGATTTGAAAGCTGAGGCAAAAGAATGGATAGTATTCTGTGGTAAGTACACATGGATTGAACAATCCAACTGGAATCCATCTTTGGAATGTAATGAACGAATAATTTTGAAATTCATGGATTATCTTTATAGTCCAACGGGCAGGAAAGCTAAACTTGATCTTGGAGAAACCGTTCTGAGAGGTCGAATTAAGCGCATGGCAGACCTGGGTGTCATCGAAGATGTAGAGATAGCTTGGACGAAGGTCAGACATTCTTACTCCTGACGTAAAGATTTTCCAATTTGTAATGTTTATGTTACAATTACAGATATTGCAGTTTGGATATGATCTAAGAGTATTATGCTTGTTATTTTTTCAGGGTGAGATTTCAAAGTCAGCTCTTGATGAATCAGAGATGTATGATTCCGTAGAGCCCATACAACCATTTTTTATGTCTGTAGATATATCACAGGAAGTTGAAAAGTGGCGAGCGAAGGTTGAAGTCAAGAGGATGGATACAAAAAAACAAAATCTTTTCTTGGAGTGGAGAGCTAAGTATACGGCAGACGAACTTTATACGACAGACGCCTCATATAAGATCTGTGTCAGCACACTTGAAAACAAAGGGTCGGTAAAATGGGCTATTGCTGCCAACAAGTGGTGGAATAAAGTTGAACTGTTTGCAACAGCGATGTCTCTTGTTAAGGATCTTAGCAAAGGACCAGAATGTGATCACGGCGGAAAACGTGCAAGTAAGATGGTTCCCAAGCATTTTCTTTGAGCTTTAACTTTAACTGAAATATGTTGTATCAAAATGATAATATTTGCGATAGGGTTGCTGTTATTACAGATAGGAGAACTCGTTCTTCAGATGATAACATGGATGTAGGCGCGAAGAGAAAGCCACCTGGTGAGAGGACACGACGTGCTAACATATGGCGATGAATTGAAAGTCGTACGTGGACTTCGATACTGGTTAGTTTCACTTACAAAAGTCTTAAATGGCAATTTTTAGACCTGTTTTTTTTTCCACTCTACCTAGATAGGCTCCAATGTAGCTCGAAAGAAGTGGTAGCTGGTTTGCACATGTACATTTCAGCTTTTTGGCGATGGGGCAAAGTATCCAAGTTATAAGTTGAAGTCTTGCTGTTGTGATTTCTAGTTCTAATTGGCAGTTCAAGTACAGCACCATTAAACTTGAGACTGGCTTCTGGTTGAAAGCTACACTGAGTGACTTGACCTGAATTCTGAAGTGGACAAAGTCGTTGTGACAATAGTTCCTAATTGTAGAATTCAGGTGTTATGCTTAATTTATCTTACATTGAATGCATGTGTTTAAGAGACTTTGGGAATTTTTGTTTGTGCTGAACTTGAATTCTCACAAGCTCTCAACGCCATAAGTGTCTGCTCCCCTCTCTCCATCCTTTGCATCTCTTTGTTCTCTGATGGTGCAGCTGATCATTTCTATAAGTAGATTTTGCACGAGATATGTAATTCGCCTCGATTTCAGGTTTTGTCTCATCCGACAGAAGTTGCCAGTTATCAGACGATGTACTCAAAAGCTGGCAGAAGTTCCATCAGAGTAGCTCTGCAGAATACGTCTGTCTACTATATATCAGAAATTTTTCATGAGTCATTTGAATTTTACATAATTTACCTGAACTTAGGACAAATACGTCTCTCATTCTTCTCTAAATTCCGGTTTGCTGACTTTGATAGCTGCTGCGCGATGAGGTCCATGGATATATTCGACAACTCGAAGATGATAGGGTACTTATCATCCCGCCGGTTTCTATATATTGGACACATGTTTGCAATTCATGCTTGATTAACTTGTAAACATGTATGGTGGCTTATGTACTCATGACGTTACATTCATAAAATCACCGTTCTTGGATTTTGGGACGGTCGATCAGTATCTGATTATAATTTTGTTTTTTCTGATACAGCTTTGAGGGTGCCAACGAAGGATGCAAATGCGGTGACAAGTGCTCACGCAACCCTTGCAACTGCAAATGAGAGAGAACACCTCCAAATTATGCTGTTTATATTCCTTGATAACTCTCATGACGAAAACAGGAAGACGTATACAGTACTTTTGTCAGAATTTGGAGAATTATTCTCAAACTCAATGTAGGATCACACTAAACCCTACATCACAGAACCATGTGTATATCTGACGACATAAATAAAGTCAGCAGAAGCATCTGCTGTAAGATTTCTGATCATAGGTGTGTTGTGTGAACTTACTGCATGCTTGAGTGAATTAAGTTCGACCTTGGATAGTAAGTACGGAGAGTAGTGAGGATTAATTCGACAGAGGCCTGTAATAGCCAAAAGGGTGGTGAGTTCCAAATACAGGTTTTGTCTCATCCGACAGAAGTTGCTAGTTATCAGACGATGTACTCAAAACCTGGCAGAAGTTCCATAGGAGTAGCTTTGCAGAATACGTCTGCCTATTATACATCAGAAATTTTTCATGTGTCATTTGAGTTTTAAATAATTCACCTTAACTTCGGACAAATATGTCTCTCGTTCTTCTCTAAATTCCGGTTTGCTAACTTTGATAGCTGCTCCCCGATGAGGCTCATGGATACATTCGACAACTCGGAGATGAGAGGGTACTTATCATCCTCAAAAAATAAAGTTTTGAAAAAATACGGAAGAAAATAGAATTTGAGTCTTGAGAATAAGAGAATGTAAATCGTGCTGGCTTGTCTCGACCAATAATTCTGACCTGTCTGTAACCCAATGTTTTATTCAAAATGAGGACATGCTTACAATTTGTATTGCGCAGCAATATGAACCAAACTGAAGGACCTCCACATCTCAACTCTCTGGCTATTATATGTTTATCTGATCTCTGGCTATTCAACGATACATCCAAATAACTCTGGAAGCTGTCAAGAGGAGCATTTATATTCCAACCGAGAACCTCAAGTCAAAGGTGCACTTCAGTTCTCGGGCCATGTAATTCGAAGCACCATGACAGACCTTGAGAAATATGGCTCTCGAAGTCAGTCCTAGAAGGTTAACATACAAGACAGAACCCTTCTCATTCATCCGGAGACATCGAAGCTCAAAAGTTTCTGAGTGACAATGTCCGCGTTTCTGGACATTTCAGGAGTGCTTTCCCTTTGATAGAGACAGGCTGAAGGTTTCAGCATTTAGAAAGTAGAGGACTGAACACGAAACTGGAAGACCATGAACTCCACAACAAGGTGAAACAATGTACTAGATATCACCTGCTCGGCAAGAAGATCTCTCCTCGGAGTTCCCCAACTACCACCAGTGCACTTTGAACCAGCGAGTCAAGAAAAAATTTGAATGTTCCTCCTATCCCTGACTCGTGTTTGAAACGACCTTTTTCTAGCATAGTCAACCATCGCTGTTGGATCATCCACACCGACTTTATCAATGTGCCGAGTTGCTCTCTTCAAAGTGATACGTCGATTTAGGTATTGATTCAGAAAGATTAACCGGCGAATTGTGACTTGCCTATTCGGTACATTCTCCGGTGGATTCATGTGCTCAGGTAGCAGGGGAAGAAGGGAAAAGCACGGAGAGAAACATTTTCAAGGTGGTCGACACAGTTTCAAACATCGGTTGAACAATTCTGCTGTGAAAAACTATGGTCGTCAGTATGACGTCGACTAGGTTGTGAGAATAGGGATTCCCTCATAGTTGAGTGTGGATGGATGCCCATATGTTCTTATAGTCCATCGCTAGATACGTCTGCCGGAAAGCGGAGCGATCTACTTCAATCACTTTGATGCTCCACCGGAAAACTGAGTGCCAATCAAAAACCTGCCCGGTTAGCCTACCCGCACATTCTTCCATCTTTGGTTCAAAAGAGGAGAGTCACAGCGAAAAGAAGAATTTCCCTTACGGCTCACTGCAGGATGACACCTGCCTGGGTCTACGAAGGCCCTATATAGGGGCTATGTATAAGTTTGTGCAGCTAAACCCGTCCCATATTAAGAAGGGGATCAAGAGGCACCGTTGCACCGTATATGCAGGTGCGAGCAGCGAAGCTCACGTAGTCTGAAACTGCTTGTTCACTCCGCCATTCCATAGCAATTGAGATCAAACTGGAACCTTGACGTTTGACCAGCCAGACTGGATCTGCTGCTCATATTCTGAAGGCAATCAATGACTGCCGCCATCTTTGCTAAGGAGTTAGAACTCCAGCGTGTCTTCCTCATCTAGGATCGACTGAGGGCCAGCAGCAGCAAAGCTCCTAGTTATAGGTTTTTGTAGGCCTCGGTTGGCGAGCTCTAGACAATTCCATAAAAGGCCACACTCGCTTTTGTTAACGTCACACCCGTTTTTGACACGGACGCATCCCCCGCTAATTACCATGCCCCGCTTTTCCTACTACGGAAGCTCACTGCTACTGACCAAGCCCCAGCCACGGCCTCACGCCCCTCGACTATGTTCTCCTCTGTCTCGCGGACGAGGTCGGGTTAGGAGCTGGGTTTGAGTGGAGTCGTGTTTGTACGTAGCGGGTGTAGCCCTAGCAAAAACGGGTGTGGCCCTAGTCACACCCTTCCATAAACGGGTAGTCACTTTGGAGGGAATAGGGAAAAATGTCTCTACTAATTGCAACGCAACGATAAGAAGTCCTTGACTAGTAACCCAAGAAGCGCGAAAGTACACGTGGAGTAGATATATTCCGGAACCGGAAGTGCCCGGTAGTTCGGAGAAGTATCACCTAAGATATATCAAATTGCCGCTCCCTCCCGTGTGGTAACGGGGACCAGGGTGCCAATAACAGGAGAGGATTCGCTGCCGGTCGTGCGGTTTGGCCCTGAGATGGATAAGGATGGATGACCTCAACAGGGTCGTTGCTTCGAAAATCGTCTGCTTCTCCCAAGGGGGAACAAGATTTTTATCACCGAGATTCGAGAAGCAATACAGGTTAAATGTGCCTCCAGGAACCTCTGGAATGAATCGTCAAACCAGTAATCCTCGAACAATTCTGCTGCCTGCGCCATTACTCTTCTTTCAGGTTAAACCTGCAGTTCCGGTCTCTTCTATTCTCATCGTCATGTTCTGAAGTTCTTTAGCGATTTGCAAACTCAGTTGCATTCGCATTTTTACTGTCGTGAATATCAAATTCACTGTCAGAAATCTTTATTCACTCGAAGTTTCGAAAAAAGGCTCGCCGTCTTTCACAGTTGAGGACGCGAGCGTCATTCGCGACACAAGCACCACGACAACGATTGCAACCCAGTGCGAGAGAAATTCAGGTTTTTGAATAAGGTTACTAGCGTGGGACGACTGAGTACATTGGACTTCTTCACCTTTGCTATCGCAGCAAAGGTGTTTGCCCGGTTCGAGACCATCTGGCTTCCAAAAGAGCTTGGCACGTTGGCGAAACATGCCAACAGCAGCAGGGTGCTAATCTTTTGTCTGAGAGTGCTCGCAAGACACAGTCATTCTCCCGGAGTAGCAAAAGGCATATTTCTCGATAAGCCAACAAGCAAGTGGGTTTTACGGTTTAGTCCGCTTTCTCCTGCACTCACTTTGGTTGACTTACGTCTAAATTTTATTTCACACAGGACTGTATGGTCGCAATGATGGTGTTGGTTGGCGTCTTGACTCAGGTATGGATATCGTCACAATCTGGCCCTTACGACAACGAATATACACGGCGGTACAGACCGTAATGGTCATTATGTACTCAACTGTAGAGACAAAAAAAAAGGTCGGCTATAGAGAATTCACGACGACTATTTGGTCCCTAACTTTGGACTACCGGTAGCGGCGTTGACTGGTTTTGGAACCTCAGTCAATTCACGTGTTTACGATGGAGGTGGAGAAGACGACACATAGTATAGCTTTTGTGAAATGCCTAAATTTTCTCGAAATTTCTTAAATCCCCGACCGTGTATGGTTCTGTGTTATCGTGATCAAGGGCCAAGGACTTTCCATTCTTCGGAAGGTCTCCACAACCGATTCGTATACAGGCCAGTTACGAGTTGCTTCGTGTTAGTCGTGCTTGTTGTTGGTAGCCTGTATTCCGTTAAAGGTTGAGAAATGGATTCGCGCCAAAGGGTGTTTGTCCACCGGCGTAAATCTTGTGCAGGCCATTGAATATTTATGCGCAGTGAAATTTGAAGGTTGAAGCATACAGTGTATCGTGTTATCAACAAGATTTAAAGATCATCGACGAAATCTTAAGAAATATTGAAGGCCCACAAAAGAATGACTGCGTTCGAAGGGCGTTTGAAGGAGCTGCAATCAAATCGTGTTACCGTGACAATTATCATTTTGTCCATACATGGCGTGGGACACTGCCTCCAAAAGTCGGTCATAAAAAATTCCAACATCATGTTTTCGAATCCAGTTCTCCATTTAAAGGTAGAATCAAGATGGTCGATAGTCATTTAGGCGGTTGTGTAAGTTTGAAAACATTGAGGCACAAAGTATGGATACGATACAAGCTTTGTACGTAGAGAGTACACAAAAGGCCACTGAGGACAGAAGTTGCGAACCACATCACAACCCACTATTTCGACCATTGCGGTATTAAATCCAAGGGAGCTGCCTCTGCTGCCGTTTCGGTTGAACACGATTTTCTCATCTTCAGTACGTACTGTAAATGCTTACAAAAAAATCTTTGAAGATTTCAGGTGTGGACAAAGAAGATATCACCAGTTCATCTCGAGTATATGTGCCCTCGAGGATTTGACTCGATAGAACAGCGGCTTGATTATACTTAGGCAAAGACAGCCTGTTACACAGGTTCCACAAGCTGAGACAGATCGTTGTGAAATTGTGGCTTTGTTCAAAACTGAGAAATTTGACTGAAAGAAGTATTGATTCCAAACCGGTGACAGAGGGAATGTCAGGTAAGAAACCTGGTGGAATACAGGCACCAGAGAGTTGGAAAGCAACTCTAATATAGTTCTCAAAAATCGTGGTTTTACAAGTCAAATGCCCTTGACCCAGTTGTTGCTTGAGTGCTTGAGATAGTGCTTGAGAGTGACTTGTGAAACCGTGACTGATGGACATGCTCGTACGGTCCTTGTGATCTTCATGGGAAGAATTTGATTATGTAGATGATGAAATTGACTGAGAAGTATAAAATGTACGACAATGTGGAGAGAACCTGAGCTGAGCTGTTCCAAACCAGCTCAACTTTTTTGTACCTACCAAAACTGCAGGTAGATGTTGACAGCTATATATCATCTCCATCATCCGCAGAGCTAGCAGAGTCTTCTTCATCGCTCCCACTGTCACTGCTACTACTGCCACTACCGCTTCCAGAACTCCCGCTTCCGCTGCTGCTTGAACTCGAGCTAGGCTTCGCTTTCTCGTCCCCTGCTGCTGCTTGTGCTCTCAAAGTTGCTGCAGTTTGATCAACTCCGGTTTTATCTTCTTCATCCTCACTAATGTCTACCTCCTCGTATTCGCTCAGCTCTTCTACCACCTCCTCCACTTCAATTTGGTCTTCTTCTGGAGTAGCCTTTTTAGTCGGGGATTCGTGATCCTGCTCATCGTCTATATCAATGTTGACGGGTGAAGGTTCACGCTCCCTCTTTTTATCTACAGGCGAAGCTGGAACAGCAGCGGGTGAGACTGCCTTCTTGCTCTTAGCTTTCGGTTCTGCAACTTTTTTATTCGCTTTCTTCTTTCCAGCTGCTACACACAAACGGATTAGCCCATCAACATATAGTTAGTCGACATGAGATGCTGTAGGACAGGCTGTGAATGTCGCAGTCGTATACTCCAGCACATTAAGTGATAGGGAGAGCAAAAACCTGGTGGATCAGGTTTGCTTGGTATTGGTGTTATCTCCTCTGACTCTATCTTCTCACGCTGAACCTGCACAAAGTAAATGTCATCACACACGTCTGAGGAATCAGATATTGCTCATCTTTATAGCTCACAACGCTACGGATAAATGCGAAGGCAAAGGTCCCCATTCCTCCAGTTGCAAGCGTACCCCTTTTAGTTACCCAACGCAGACATTGCTCTCACCTTATTAATATTTTTCTTACCAAGTATTGCATAGAAATGGTTGATGCTCAGATCAGACAAATCCAAATGATTCAAGAAATTCAGTGTTCTCTACTTCCCTCCCGGTAGGTCCTAAACGTTGTACGATAATGAAATGTGAACGAAAGTAACAACTTAACGACAGGGATCATATACGGAACTCCCAAAAGACAATGTTTCTTCCCTTCTGTTTTGCATCTTCACAGGCTAGCAGATTTTAAGTTGCGTGATCAATTCACCTCATGCTAATCACCAAGCACACTAAAGAACACCACGCCCAACGATAAACCTTATGACTCATGCATACACAAATTAACCAACGAGACGAGATCTTACTGGGATCATAGGTGGCTTTTTCAGCGATTTATCAGCAACCTGTGATGTAGATATCCTTTCGACGTTACCGTTTTCATCCTCATCAGGTTCACTGTCCTTCAGATTCATTCCTTGGGCAGCGGCGGACGACTCCCCTGGCTGTCTAATATGTCTGAGACTTTTGAATGCTCTGTGCATTCGCTCCAAGCGAAAAGACTTGCCATCGAAAAACAAAACTGCATCTAATTCCTTACAATCCTCACTGTTGCCCTGAAACCCGACCTTTGGCTTCCCAGCTTGATTATTGAAAAATTCGACGGTACATTTATTCTCGGTACTGTTGTGAAGAGTCCCTGGCCTGGTGCTATCAATGGATGCCGGTTTGAACTCGTCTGCATTGAAATTAAACAACGACAGTATCAAGATCAGGTTAAAGTAGACAACCATTAGTTAGGCAGCCAGTGGTTGACAGAGTTTGAACTCCACATGGCACCTGTACTTGAAATTGACATTGACAGAGGATTTGCCTGGACTAGGTCACAGAGTCGGAATCTTATAGATTGCCTTAGAAATACAGAACCTCACGCCACCAAAGCTGGCAGGTCCCTTCTAAGATACCGGAAACTACAGTTGATGATAAGTGATGCTCAATCGGTGGACAATAGCAAACGATTCCCAACATGGAGGACTGCGCTATCTGGTTCATAATACTAAGGATGAACTTGAGCTGCGTATTATTTGAGTGATCTCGCAGATTTCGCTAAAACGGTCAGATTCTAATGGCAAGAAGTCTGGCGTCAGGCTCGTTGACTTCAGGCTGCCACATACAACACAGACAATTATTGAGGCTCACATGAAACTCTGCATCGAGCAGATTTCAATTCAGAGTCTTCCACAGCATCACAAATGTCACGAGGTAATTCCACTTAGACACCTTATTTCGTCTGAGAAACTTACATCGCAGCGAATAAAAACGAGTGGTCGCATCGTCCTGACAAGAAGATCCTAGTTTCATAGGATACCATTGTTCTGCAACCGGCTCCTTGGCCTTCACCATGATGAGGAAATCTTTCCTCGAGAAAAAGTCTAACTCCCGGCTCCAGTCACATCATGTCTGGCAGAAGGAGACAGCAGAACAGATCTACAGACAAAGAGGCTGTCAACGGTTCCACACCCGCATTTTCCATCAGATTTTCAAATTGAGGCGGAATGGCGTCCCGTATTCACCCGGAACATTCAAATCCATATCATAACGTACAAATGTGTACTGGATTTCCGCGTAGAACCTAGGATCTGTACATCCCGTCCGTTCAAAACGACCCAATCTGCAACCTTGTTGTTCCTATGTTCAGTTTCATGCACTGTGTATTCCCGAGAGTTAACGACCGAGGTTTCAATGTGTGAATGTGCGGGAATTGTAAGAGGGGTCCAATAGGCAGTCGCAGTGAGTTTGTGGTGTCAAGATTTCGTCGGTCAAGCTCCAAAGGGCCCGCTTTGCCAACAATAGATTCTACTGAAGTGTTGTGAAGAATCCACCGTATTAACGAGACTCCAGGTCTTGTGGACATGTGACGAAATACCGAAGTAAGAATTTTCGCCCGAAGGACGATTTCAACTCACGTGTTGTGAAACTTAGAAGGGCATCTATAATAAGGTTGACGTTACGGTTGCACTTCGCTTGACGACAGCAGTATATATTCTACAGGGGGACTTTCACCGCGAATCTGTGAAGAGTGCGAAATTACGTTCTGTTATGTCATGCTCACGTTTTCTTCGTTGCAAACGGTAAAGTTGTTTGTAACATTCATCTCTTTCCATCGTATAAGATGAACCGAACTGAAAGAGTTGTAACAGCTCAATCACACAAGATTGGATTGCATATTCTGCAGGAGCTTGGAATGGAAGAAGACACTGGTAAGCTTTTGAGTTCTTCTGAAAGGCTTTTTTCCAAAAATTGGTCAAATTGAAACAAAATTATCTGTTATTAATCATAATAACAACTTATACCATTACGTTAAACAAGTTTAGATTTTGCTCTTATATTAACTTTGAAGAAGTACGAAAGTGCTACAGACGGTAAACAAATAACTTTTGCCAATCAGTTTATATATCAACAAGGTGTTTTATAAGTAGCTAAATTTACATTATATTACGTTTTGTATTACTCATTATCTCATCCATGTACATGCCATATTCTCACAACTGCAGCTAGTCTTCGCTTTTCGATGTGTATCAACCTTTGATACTGTCCAAACATGGTCAGCTTATCACTCGCCTATTGCACTTATATGGCTCAATACTTCTCATAGCATCATGTTACTCTACGTAGCGAATCTTGGATTTCCTGATTTAACTACTAAGATGGATGAACTTCGTATTAAGTCTATGTTCTGTCCTTGAGTATTATCATTAACATACTCTAAAGTATCGTCCAAAATGTTCAACAATTGACCACTTAAACACTGCTTTGATTGCCAATACACATGAACTCAAGTTTGAAAACTATTTTCCTTTTTGGAGGAAATACAACTTCCTCCATTCAGTAGTGGATATAAAAAAATGACTTGTAAGATGAAATCAAGTTCTTCGTTTCTCTTTTTAGAAACGAAGAAACACTAAATCAGAATTATGTAGATATAGTATCATGATGAGAAGAATTTGCCACGAACTTACGATGTTTAAACTATCCGCAATAGATCAAAGCATCAAACAATCTATGAAGACATGACTATATGATACCACCGTATCATCTAATATCATTGCCATCATGAAAAGAATATATATATATATATAGAGAGAGAGAGAGAGAGAGCTTTGTCAAAAGCTCTTTGTAGAACAATGCAAAATTTTTATATTAGAAGGTATATAATGAATTACAAAAAGTAATAAAGATGTCACTTCATAAAACATGTTCTTGCATAATGTCTCATACCATATTACAATCCACATCTACCGTTCTCTTATTTCCAATGGTGGGAGAATAAAGAGATGATCTTTCTGCGCATACTTATATATCGACAGCTTGGATGATGATGGTAATACTTGGAGGCTATACTATATAACCATCTATCTGGAATTGATCTATTTAACTCAACTCTTTATCTTTTTGCACAAAATCCAAGTGTATATTTTTATTAACAAACTCACCAAAAGTGATTCTGATCATTTCATCTTTTTCAAGATATTTAGATGATATACACGATCAATATTGTATAAAAATTTTCATATAATCTTCTAATTTAGTCATCACAACACATGATTTTGTTGGTCACCACAATGAGAATTTAGCTGCAAATCATTACCAAAAAAATATACATCAATTTCCAAGCTCAAAGATGTCATACCTTCAAATCGTGATATCAATGACTAAGAAGTAAGCAAGAGATACTTTAAAAATTACTTCCATCTTAACTCAAAGGATGTTTTTTCTTGACACGTCAAATGATCATACTTGTAGCCATAGTTATTTGTGAAGATTATGGATTGAAATGGTTATCATGAATTCTAAATAACAAATGATTGGACTGTAAGTTCAATTTTGAAATGATTATTAGTTGCTTGTAGGGGCTTGCTTTCTTTTATAGTGGATTGAAGTTAAACGTGTGAACACATCATATTTTCTAAAGAAAGCATAGAAACTTTGTATATTACTCTTTGTTGTTGATGAAAATACAAAGTTTGCAAATTAAGATATTCTTCTCAATAAAGTGCTTTATTTACTTAAGTAATAGTACATGTAAACCTTGTTATGATATAACAATCAAATTGTGTTGTGATTTATTAACACAAAATATTAATGCAACATATTTTTCAGTATTACTTTTAAGACATTCGCGTTTATTAATGTTAGAAAAATTTTCACAATTTTCTTTTCAAATACCTTGAAACAGAAAAATATATATAACAAAGAAATTATGTGAAAATTAGTTGAATTGACCAAAAAATTTAAATTAATTACAAAGTTCATTTATGGATTTCTTTAGAATGAAATACTTGTCTAGATGTATACTTTATTTAATGAAACATATTAGTAATGTAAGACAATATACTTGTATTTAACTTATGGTGTGTAAATTTTCAATAACTTTCATATATCTCTATAGATAGTTGAAAATTTTATAAGAAGTGTTTGTTGAGTTTAACTCTGGTTAAGGAGTTAACCGAGGTAAGTTAACAAAGGTTAACCACATATGTAGCTATTTATAGCTTATAATAGTTGACTACCTCGGGTATATATACCCTGAGGGTGATAAGAAGACGATCACCTCAAACATTCAAGAAGTAAACTCTCTAGTGCTTTTCTTCCCGTGGACATAGCCCTTGAGGGTGAACCACATTATACTCTCGTGTCTCTGGTGTCGGTATGACTGAATGATGAGAGGTTCTGAGTTTTAGCGTTTGCAATTGGTATCAGAGCCGGTTTGATTCGGACTCTGTGTCAGAGTGGTTTTTGGTGACGGCTTTCTAACTCGTGACGTTTTTTATGTGACAGTATTTGACAGTTTTCTGCAAAGTTTCAGGTTTTCACTGCAGACAAAGCTTTTCTTGTCGCCGACAGATCCTTTGTTGTTGACGGATTTTGTGACGATCAAAGAGTGTTTGAGCTCGTGCGGAGAGTGTGAAGAAGGTGTGAAGAGTAGAGGAGAGAACCCCCGGCGAAGGCAGGGAGTGGCGTATTTCCAAAGCGGCCCGAGCAGTGTATTTTTTGCAGGAGTGTAGCAGTTAGGACAAGAGTGTATTGAGAAAGGAGAGGACGGAGTGCAATAAGAGTTTTTTACGAAGCGGCTGAGTAAAACCTAACCTCTTATAAAATGAGAGGAGGAGGAACGGATTTAGGAGGAACCTCCCCTCTCCCCGCGCAGGAGAGAGAGAGTAGAGCGGATTCAAGAGGAACCTACCTTTCCGCATGAGAGAGGAGAAGAGACGAGTCTAACCCCCCTTCCCGGCGCGCAGGTTAGATCTGCAACCTCCGGGCTGACTCTCACTAAGGTTTACCTCTGATGGCTTTGCGGTAGCGCATCATGGTTCTAGAAGACTTGGATTCATCCTCACACTCATGTCCCAAACACCTTCTGTCAAAAACTCTCTATGTATCACTCCAACTCACACACAAATTCTCCTCACCTCACTCTCTTCACGTAAACGCAAACACATGTCGATACTCCAAGATACCTAAAAATTTCACTCCTTCATTCCTCAAACAAGTCCTCACACATGATTCTTTAAACTTGCTTGAGAGGAGCTACTCTACCTCTCTATTTATAATACTTGAGAAGTTACCATAGTAACATGTGATAATTTCTCCTAACTTACTTTTACCTAGGTAAGTTTGATTAACCCACTCTATGTGGCAACATGCCATTGGCCTAGCTAAACCTTTTAGAAGTTTCCGGAATCCAAAATTGAGGTGGCGACATGCCATTGGAAGCTTTTAAACTTCTACAAGCTTCTTAACTACCAAATCAACACTAGACTTAGTCTAGCCAATAATCTTTCATACATTTTAGTCTAACCAATCAAATCCAAGCTTTTAGTCAAATATCCAATCCATTGGAATCTAGAACTTTTGTATAAGACAAAATAGAAGTGTTCACCCCGTGTAAAAGACAAAATAGAAGTGCTCACTCCATTCTTCTAGAACTCCGCTAATCATTCTGCCAACTATAAACATTGTAGCTAAACTTAGTTATGACTAGATAAACTTAGTTATAACTAACTAGTTTAGTCATAACTAGCTAGACTTAGCTATCCCTTGGCTAATCATCCTTAATCACTTGACCAGTTTGACACTTAGTACATATGTGCAACACCCGGTCTTACACATCCGGAAGAGGACGAATCTACCCCCTTCACCACAAGAGAGAGGAGCAGGCCCCCCTCCCCCCTTCCTTTTCCCCGCGCAGGTTAGTTTAGGGAGTAGAGGAGCGGAGAGGAGGAATCTACTCACCCCCCTTCCCCTTACCCACTTCCCCGCGCAGGTGGCAGCCCCACTTCCCCCTGGGGGTGGGTAAATCCCTAAACTCTCTTTTCTATCTCTGCCTTCCTTCGCAAACCTGCCCTCGCCTAACTTGCCCCTAAACCCTACCCCCCTTCCCCGCGCAGGTTAGGTTAGCGAGGAGAGGAGCGGAGAGGAGAAATCTACCCCCTTTTTCCGCGCAGGTGGCAGCCCCCTTTTTCCCTACGCAGGTTAGGCCACGGCAGGTTCGCGAAGGGAGGCAGAGGTAGAAAAGAGAGTTTAGGGATTTACCCACCCCACCCTGCAGGCAAGCAGCGGAGCGGCCGCAACAAAGAAGAGGAGCGGATTTAACCCCGCGCGGTTAGAGCTTTAAAGGAGATTTAGGCGGGCAGCGGAGCGGCCGGAGGGAGAGTAGCCGGGAGGGTTAGGGTACAACGTGGTTTGAACGTGGTAAGTCACAGTTGAAGTCGTGATTGGACCTACCGTGGTTACAGTTGACGTGGTTAGACCGACAGTGGTTAATGTCTACGTGGTCGATCTGAACGTGGTTGCAGTCGGCGGGGCAACGCAGTCAATGGTCAAACGACGGTGACGGCAACGGTGGCGGTCTGTAAGACCCGATGTTGTATGTGTGAACTAGAACTAGAATTAGCCAGGAAGTTAATCATGTTTTGATAGTCA